TTTTCAGATAACTGATCATCAGGCTTATAGTGTCCACTTTGCAAAAAAAAATAAAAAATCAAATGACCTTTATGATTAAAGTCATAAACACTTTGTGTGCATAACATCGTATCTCAGTTTAAGCACACCCTAAATAAAGCTCCTAGCCTTGCGTTGGACATGCAGTTAGCCTGTATGTCTACTAAATTCAGCCGTCACTTTCATTTTTAATTTTTCTTTCTGCGGCCATAAAAAAAATATTCTCAGTTGGATTTTTTACAAATCCCAACTTAAATCTGAGGAATTATTTAAAGTTGTTATTTGTGAAACAAAACCTGGAAGTCCTAGTTTTTAAAGGCTTTATTTTGCTGTAGTCTTTGGAATCAACGTGTTACTGTCATGATGCAAATGTTCTCCCCGTGCCGAGTGCAGCAGGATCAATCCAGTTTGCTGCCTGACACTGGCAGTCATCCAGGGCTTCACAGAGAGCAACAAAGTGACCTGCCTAACTTTCATTTGCATTTATTATGTGGATGAGGAAGTGCTGCTAACAAGTGGAAAAAAGCTTGTTTGTATACGCTTCCTCTTCATCTCATCCTCCTTGATGTTTATTTCTCAGATCAGTGCTGCTGACTGGGGACAAGCTGAAACAACATATAACCTCTATGAGGTTCTTTTCAAGGTTCACAAGGTAAGTTATGAGAAGGATGCTGTGATGTGCATCAGGGCTGTTCAAATTTTGATCACCTCTGTTTGCTCTCTCTAGAGATGTCGGTTTTCCTCTTTGAGCATGTAGTATAGTGATTCAGGGAGCTGTCTAACCAAGGCATGTACACAGAGAAGGTTCCTCTGTTTAATCTGCGAATATAGAGAAATACTAGTGATTCCTTCTACTTACATCAGCTGTAGAAAGTGAAATAACAGCGTACCTTTACCCCAGTATGTAGTAATTACAAGTTTGCATTACAGCTGTGGATGGCAGAGGACTGCTGGCTCCAGGCAAGGCTCTACTTGGGACTGGAGCATTCTCCTGAGCAGGACACGGAGTCTCTGTGCTTCAGTATTCTGGTCGGCCACGGCCAGAGCCACACCTTCAGGGTAGAGCTGGCCACTGACCTGGCTATCTGGGAGAAGTCCTTCCAAAGGGCTGTCTTCTTGGAAGTGCAGCGAATACAAGTGAGTACTTTCATATAAAATGATCTCAGACCCTTTTTGTTTGAATATTAGTTTGAATGGAGTGCCTCTAAATTAAAGCACCTTTTTCTCAACTCAAAGGAGGAACGTGAAGTATTGAATGTTTGTTGAGCATAACTCTGTGTTTCCGTTGGGCTTTAGAGCCAGAAGGAAGATAAATAGCATCAATAATCTTGTATGATGACTAAAATGTACTCTTCCAAATACAAACATGACAGTCTGAAAATGGAGCTTTATAATCCTTTAATTCCAGTATTATTGCATAGGAACATTACAGCACAATTGCATTTGTGTGTAATATTCCTGTACAATCGTGCACTGGTCCATTTAATTAACAGAACAGCACAAAAATGTTAACATAACATTTGAAAGCTATTTAAATCCTTCTGTAACACCTATATGATATTGCTATGGTTGTTGTCATTGCACCTTTTGTTTTGAGGAAGTGACTTGCATTCATCATTTACCTCCTGTATTTATTAAAACTGGGTGTATTATATTTGATACATGAGTTTTTGAACACCTCTTAAAGAAGAAGAAAAACCTGTGTTGATTGGTTAGATGGAGACAATGAGCTGGAAAGGATGTGCAGCAGGTTAGGATGATTAAAAACAGAGATAGAAATGGATGGAGTTAAGTTAGTGGAGTGCAGAGAATTAATAAGGTGGAAGCGAGTGTAGCTGTGTAAAGGAATGAAGCCGTGTTTATCCAGGTGGCGTACCTGTGATGGTATGAAGATGCCTTGAAGAGAGGACGTGGCGTTTTTTAAACTCGAGTGTTTAACACAATCTTGGAGATTGAGAAGCTGCCAGAAGAATGAGTCCAATTTTCAAGAACAGGGTCGATGTGCAGAGCTGTAGTAACTAGAAAGAGATGAAGCTGATTAGCCATGACGAGTTGTTGAAGCTAGGTTAAGTGACACACGGTGACATGCGTTAGGGCTTCATGCTGAGAATGAACACTACAGCTGTGATGTTTGCTTGATGTTTGATGATGGAGAAGAATAGAGACGATCAGACAGAGTTGCACCGTGCCTTTGTAGATCCAGAGAAAAGCTCTCTGAACCCCTTTTTGTTTGCAGTGGTGATGGACAGGTTAACAGATGAGATGAGACAGCGGTCTCTGTGGACTTTTACAGATGACACTCGTGAAATCTGTAGTGAGAGTAGGAATAGAATACATGTGTGTGAATGAGAGGAAGGCAGGTGGGAAGGTGAACATGCAAAGTTGGATGAATTTAAATACCTGTACTCAACCAGCCAAAGCTATCGACAGTGCACAGGAGAGGTCAAGAAGAGAGTGCAGGCTGGGTGGAGCAGTTGGAGACAAGTCTCTGGGATGATTTGTGACAGAAGCCTAGCAGCGAGTCTAACAGCAGAAGGAGGAGGCCGAGTTGAAGATGTTAGGATTTTCATTGGATGTGACCAGAATGGACTGGATTAGAAATGAGTACATCAGAGGGACAGGTCAGGCTGAGCAGTTTAGAGGCTGAGATGGTTTGGACATATGCAGAGGAGGGATATACTGGACAAAGGATGCCAAAGATGGACCTGCCAGGTACACCACGGAAGATTCATGGCTGTAATGAAGGAGGACACGGTAGAGGGTTGGTGTGACACAGGAGGGATAGGGGTGAGATGGATCCACTGTGGCAACCTCTAAAGGGAGCAGCCAGGAGAGGACATTTGGAAGACGTCTAAATCAGTAAAACAATCTATACTTTTCTGTGATATAAAAATCTAACACATTTTCATCCCCACTTGTGAATTACAGGCAATAACAGGCGTGTCTTTTTCTTTTGACCAAGGAAACTTTGTTAATTCCAGTTTTATTATGAATAAAAATTACTTAAAATCTGTCAAAAATGTCAGATTTGTAAGTTTTGGGGTTTTTTTAGTTTCTGTTTAAATATACAAAGACGTTTACAAATAGTTATTTTAATAATAGAATTTCACCAACATGATCTGGTGTGTCGGGTTTGACATGGTGAGCAGAGAGATTTTTCGAGAGTTTTCGTGGCACAGATAGTGCAAGTAAAATTAGAGATTGGATTTGGGTCTGAGGGAATCATTATTCAGTCGTATGGCTACACCAGGCTTAACATGCCACGACATTTTTGAATTCTCTAGTTGCAGCTCAGAAAAATGCCAGAGGCCTTACCTGCTTCAGATGAATTTGTCTGGCTTGCAAATGGGGCTTAACTGGTCCCCCGACAGTTCCATCCAGCCCGTTCCTCCTCTCAGTTTGACAAACACGCACCGAGTTCTGTATCTTTCCCTTGATTTAGGGTATCAAATAGACCGAAATCCCTCATGGAGGCTGGTTGTCATCAAAGTCTGAAAAAGTTGGTCTTTTAGTTTGTGTCCAACGAGCTACATGATCGTTACACATCGCAGGGCTTGGTGAAGAAAGACAGCTGGGACAAAAAGCTTTAAAGGTTTTTGAACTGTGATTTCTTCTGATAATAATAAATAAATGTTTCCTTAATTCTTGCTAGGAGCAACGCTTGAAGTTATTTTCTGACACGAGCAGTTGACAGATGTGTAAAACACTTCTTAATTATAATAATAGATCAGTTCATTATTTTGGCAACTTACAAGTATATGGATGTAGAGCTCATTGTAATTTGCTGTCTAGGCCAGCTGCCAATAGTTTGACTGCAACTTAAAATTATGAACTAAAATACATTCAGTTTAAATGTTTCATCCTTAACATACATAACAAAATGTTACAGCATACAGCAGGAAAAGTCAAACCTTACTGTGATATCACACAAAATGGGGGAAAAAAAGCTCAACCAGAAATACTTTGGGTGTAGGACCTGACAATGAGTCACACAAATTCTTTGTAGTGCATTTGAGCTGGCGCTATATAATGCTGCATCTTGGACACCTCCCAATGTTCAGACAAACCTCCCAGTGAAAGACACTTTATTTCCAGTCTTTTTTGGGTTTTTGTAGATTTTATTGGCCTGCATGTTAATTTAACACTGATGTTTAGGGGTTTAAAGCCATCGCCAGGCCACAGAAGCTCTGTGTTTTTGTGCTCGTTCTGTAGTGAAATACTTCAGGGGCAACTTTTGATTTTTCAAACACCTGCTGGTGTTTTGTCGTTCTCTTTGTGGTCGGCTCTGCTTCATCAGAGGGCAGATGTTTGGAGGTTATTTCTTTGATGCTGGCTAACTAATGCCAACTGTGAGCCGCACTTCATATTTAAAGTGGATTCACTGAATACTAAACCCAGATCCAGAGAAAGCTGCAGCTACCTCAGGTGAGGGCTGAGCGCATTTGGTATTTGGGCTGATTTAGCAGGGAAATAATGTGTTTGTGTTGCCTTGAATGCATTTCCATGTGCCTTCCAAAAATATATATATGTACTGTGTGTGTGGCAATGATGGACAGAGGGAGCTCTTTGATATTAAAATTGTGCCGCTTTCATTATCTGACTGGATATAACCCAACCCAAACAAACTCTAGGCCCAACTGCTTTTTAATAAATCTTCTTACCGTACCCCTAAAATACTACTTCCATAATCAACACGGTGTGTTAAGTTACCTCAATATTTTCAGAGAAATGCATATCTCGCCATGTGTTACAAAAAAAAAAGAAAAAAAAAAGAGGAAATTGGATGAAATCAGGGCAAAAGACAAATCTGCAAACCTGAAAAAAGAAACTACCTGCTGCAGATGAATAGTATCTAAATGTCGTGTTTTTAAGAAATGGAAAAAAATAGAGATACAGCTGTCCCTTCAGTTACTGTTAAATTATGTTTCATCAGAGTTGCTGTCATGAAGCCATTCCTGTGAAAGGTATGCCAAACACAACAGGTGGACTGAAAAACCAGCCGTGAGGAATCCTGATTTGGAATTTTTGGTTCAAATTGTCTTTCACAGTGAATTTCCAGAGGCTTCATTTCTCAGCTTAATACCAACACAGTGAAATCATGCATGGGAGTGGAAACACCACAAGTCATGGATTGTCTCCCCCAGAGTCCAGACCTCAACATTACTGAAATGGCCTGTATTTGTATAGCTTTACTAGTCCCTAAGGACCCCAAAGCGCTTTACACAACCAGTCATCCACACATTCACACACTGGTGATGGCAGCTACATTGTAACCACAGCCACCCTGGGACGCACTGACAGAGGCGAGGCTGCCGGACACTGGCGCCACCGGGCCCTCTGACCACCACCAGTAGGCAACGGGTGAAGTGTCTTGCCCAAGGACACAATGACCGAGACTGTCCAAGCCGGGGCTCAAACCGGCAACCTTTCGATTACAAGGCGAACTCCCAACTCTTGAGCCACGATCGCCCCACACTGAAGCAGTGTGGGATCATTTTGGAGCAGAATGGAACAAAAGGCAGCCAGCATGTAACCAAAGAGAAGCTTTGAATGTCCTTTGAGAAGCCTAGAGAACTGTTCCTGAAGACTACTTCAAGATATGAACAATAAAGGTTTCGGGCTGTATTCTTCAACACAGCGTAAGGTATTGAATTTGAAGGTTAGAACTGTACAAACTTTCTCTCATTCTGTATTTCCATGCATCTTTCGACACCCATTTCACATTTTCCAAGCAAAACACAAAGAAATGAGGGGCGGTTCATGACTTTTGCACTTTTTTGTCAAGCTTGTTCCAAAAGTGACTCAGTCCCCATTGTTAAAATGCCCTTTCAATAGTCACGATCTTTAACAATAAAAAGCATTAAACAGCTTTACAAAAAGGAGCGTCCCCAAAATGATGATCAGTTGAAGTTTTGACATAAATTAGCAAATTAAATATTAAATAAATGTAGCTAACTAGTTATTACAATGCAGCTTCAAAAGCATCCTAATTTGCACGAGGGTGCAATTTAATGTTTGCTTCAGACTTTTGTATTTGGGATCAAAACACAACACAGAAAAGCAGAGATGGGCTTTTAGCTTTTATGTGACACGTTTTATATGCACATATATTGTCTTTGTTTTTGTTTTGTTTTTTA